CTGCGAGGCTTGTATCCCTCTCATCCTGCATTCCGTTTGTTCTTCTTCTGGAGATGAAGTGCAGCTCGCCTAAGACCAATTGTCATGTTGTGTTATCCGATCTGCATATTTTTTGTACCCATCTCGTATACTTTTGTGCCTATTTAGCAGGGCAGCAATGCAGATCCGCAACCTTTCTTGAGAAACAATTCTGACATGAGCCACTTGCCTTTTCCTCCAGGGGTGTCGAGGTTAGAGACAAAAGGATCAGACTTACTGAGGAAGTCGCGTCTGAGAGTGAGGGTGTCAAAAGAGACTTATCTGCCGAATCTACTCCGCCGAGCATTGAGAAGAACCCAGCACCTTCCTTTGTTGCAGATCTGCTGAAACCGTATAGGAACTCAGGCCCATACTTTGATGGTAAATGGCCAGGCGAGACGGTCACCTGCGGAATGAAGATAGCAGAATGGCGACTATTAGCAAGAAGTTGCGGACTAGCTGATGAGGCAGAGGATGTGATAGCTGGTTTGCTTACAGGTTTTCATCAAGGTATATCAACTCACACTCTAGGTTACAGAAGATGGTTCACACCGGATAACCATAAGTCAGCTCAAGCAGCAGCAGAAAAGATTTGAAATACCTTGGCAAAAGAACATAGAGAAGGTCGAATATTCGGACCTTTCACGCATGATGAAGTGTTTAAGAAGATCGGCTTCTTTTGCTCCAGCCCGATGGGGAGCGTCATCAATGGAGATGGCTCCTTTCGAATAATCAACGACATGTCGTATCCGCAAAATTCAACACTTACGCCGTCAGTAAATAGCTTTGTAGATAAACGAGAGTTTGACACTACCTGGGATGATTTCAAGATCCTTGCTCGGTTCTTCAAGACGACTGAAGGAAAGTTTCTCCTAGCAATCTTCAACTGGGAGAAAGCTTATCGTCAGATCCCCATCCACCCTTCCCAGTGGAGATATTTGTTCATAATGGACTTACAACGTCAACTGTGGCTAGACTCTCGAGTACAGTTCGGCTGAGTGGCGGGTTGTGGTGTCTTTGGTAAACCAGCAGACCTGTGGAAAAAGATCGTAGTAGCCACCTTCAAACTCGAAGCGGGTTTTAGGTGGGTAGACGATAACTTACTCGTCAAAAGCATCGATAACCGGACCACCATCGCCGACGTCGTTACATTGAGTGACAGTATGGGTGTTGCGTCCAATAATGAGAAAGTTCACGAGTTCGCCGACGAACAACGCTACATCGGGTTCATTTGGAATGCGGCCGATAGAACTGTACGATTACCATTAGAGAAGTTAGAAGAACGAAAGGCCCAAATTGACCACTTTTTGACACCGGGGAGGTCCTTCTCTTTCAAGGAAACGGAAAAATTTGTCGGAAGACTAGTGAACACGACTTACATAGTTCCCAGCCTCCATTGCTATCTTCCCCCCCTGTACAGATGGAAAAAAGAGTGGAAACATACGTCAGCAACTAGGAAATTACCAGACGATGTAAGAGTGGATCTCGAGGAGTGGAAACGTACCTTAGCCTTGTTTGACGTTAGACGGTTTGTACCTGATCTAGACGTCACCGACGTTGGTTGGGTCGGAGACGCAGCGTCGTCATTTGGAATTGGCATTCTGATTGGCTCCCGTTGGGCTCAGTTTCAGCTGATCAAAGGTTGGAAAGCGTATTTAGAGGTCTCAGACAAAGGCGGAATTGCCTGGGCAGAAACAGTGGCCATTCGATTAGGATTAATCGTACTTAGCAAGATAACGAACGTCAAAGGAAAGAAATTTAAGGCACTTACAGATAATACCACTACCGAAAGTGTGGTTCTGAAGCACAGGTCAAGAGATTGGGCGGTTAACGAGGAATGGAAGAAAATCCAGGACCTCCTAGTCAAGCTCCATTGCGATGTAGTGGCTGAACGGGTCACCTCAGCCAACAATGATGCGGATGAGCTGTCTCGAGGAATAGGGAAACTACTTCCCATGGAGGAGTGTGTTGTGATCGAGGTACCGATTGATTTGAACCACGTGTTGAAACAAGTGTTTCAAGGAAGATCCAGGTAGAAATTTGGGTATAGTCGTGTAATACAGTCAGTAGTGTGTAGCGATCAGTTGAAATGAGCAATTCAAAGCGTTCTTGTCTTGACCTTCCTCTAGAGAGGCGTTACCATGCGACATGGGAGTGAGACGTCCCAATACTTGACATCCTACCTTGAGCGGTTTGAGATCAAAGTCGCCAAGCTGCCCCCATAAGTTCCTCCTTTCTGGTTTCGTAGTCTCTCTATCCTTATTTCATCAAAGCCTAGAATGGAATTCTTACAGGTGATCACTGTAACTACGTACGACCCAGTGAAAGCATACATCTTGTATGGTAGCTGGTCCCCGATGACGATCAAGCACTATAACGCAGGTGTCTCGAAGCTGGTTGCCTTCTTGCAAGTCTTCAATATTCCGAGATCGAGTATCCTCCCGATTGACCCAGATGTCCTTTATCAGTTTATCGTCTGGGCAGGACCTAAGCTTCCAGACGACCCGTCAGATTTCGATACTTCCCCAATCAAATCTACCTATCTGGTATCAAGGCATGGCACCTTTACCATGATTTTCAGTATCCTCACCACGCTACGCCACGAATTGAACTTATGCTGACAACAGCGAGGAAGCTCGAGTTACTGGAGAAGGAGAAGGTCCCGAAGAATCCGATTCTAGTTGAACACTTGTTTACTTTGTTGGAACAGTTGACGGGTGGTGACTTAGAAGATCAAACCGCGTATACGGTAGCTCTCGTCGCGTTTTGGGGTATGGCTCGCCTAGGGGAGCTATTGAAGCATCCCAACGCAAAGGATCAGGTAAGAGTGAAGGACCTGGTGTGGGATCCAAAAGACGAGTACCTTACGATTTGGATTAGGGCAGCAAAGACGGCCGCCGTGGGTGAAATCCAAGAGATCCACCTTATAAGGAAACAGCATTCCCTCCTTGATCCAGTAAGCGCGGTGCGCCGTCTACTACATTGCAATCGGAGCACGGAAGACAATCCTCTTTTCTCGTATCCGCTCAAAACCAAGCGAAGGATCTTGACGAAATCTAGATGTCAGACAATCTTCACTAACATATGGAAGAAGTCGACGGATTCTAAGCTTACTGGCCATTCGTTTCGAGTTGGGGGCGCATCCCTGCGATGGAATCTGGGATGCTCACTGGATGACATCGTGAAGATCGGGAGGTGGAGATCTAAGGCTTATCAACTTTATATTAGAGAGTATACGGACGATGAATTGTCTAAGACGAAACTTCTCCTCCAGCAGCTTATGATGCCGTAATTTATGAAGTTAGATACATCACATCGTGCACTGACGACGTGCCCTGAGTTCAGCACCCCGCTGATCACTTTGGGGGACCATCGACCCGGACCATAGTAGGTGGGGGCTCTCAGGCTCAGGACTATGTCCCGAGTCGAGGGGAAGAGCACCCCATCTACAAGGCCCGGTTGTCCTACCCCCCCGGTACCTCACGGCCGGGGGGCACCCCCAAGAAACCTAATGTATTCCCTTAGGGGAAGAGTTAGGTTTGCCTAGGGCAAACCGTGAGACTCTAAGCAATTCAACATAATGAAATGCTTTACGTGCCATACGAAAAACCCCTCCCGAGATAATACATAAGCTGAATAAAGTGGATGACATATGGTGCCCAAAGGCACGACGGTTCCATAGGCTTCCACGTACAAGCATATGGGTCTCAGGAGCAGAAGTCACGTGGATATCTCTCTAACGAGGATTCCTGTAATGTAGGCGCATATAGTCAGAATCCAAATGGAAAAACTCAGTTTCTCCATTTCTGACTATCGCCAACAATTCTTCTCTCGCTGATTATCCCACGAGCGTTGATATCCATAGCTTATCGATTATCTCACTCGCTCTATTCTCTAGAGCCTTTTTCTTTCGTTAAAAGTTTTTCTTTACCCACCCGCCATCCCAAGTTCTACAGACTTGATTCAAGAAGATTAGCGACGTCTCCCTCTGGTCCCCTCTCTTAGTTAGTAAGATTCTTTGCCCTCCTTGTTTTTTTAAAATTTCTGTTGTAAAGTTTGTACTTGTAGAGAGTGACTGAAGGGACCGTAGATGGTTTTGCCTAGCCCACCGTGCAGAGCACCCCATCTACGGAGCCCGGTTGTCCTACCCCCCCCGGTACCTCACGGTCGGGGGGCACCCCCCAGAAAACCTATGTATTCCCTTAGGGGAAGAGTTAGGTTTGCCTAGGGC